TCAACGCCGTTGGCCAATAATTGATTGGCTGAGAATGTTTTTAAAAATTCAAAAATGGATAAAATATTTCAAACGCCGCTTTTAACTTTGTTTGCTTTTTTCGAGCAAAATAACTTTTTAAAAAAAAAATTTTTTTTAGGTCTTGCTGAGCTGTGATTGGCTTAAAAATTACAACCGTTCAGTCGTTTTGGTCTTTAGGTAGTGTATATTAGGCTCTAGCAATGAGATAGTAGACAGAATGCTGTTATAAAACTTTAATTTAGGAATAATTGCAGAATGATATTAGGGGGTCCCAAACATTAAACTTTTTGTAAAATTATCGGGCGCTTTTTTTAAAAATTCCGGGAGCTTTTTTTGTGTGGGTGACTGTCTAAAAACCTTGTCACTTAGTCAAAGTACACTCTAGCACTTCTCTATATTAGTTCCTCTTTTACTCCTCTTTTACTACTCATTTACTTATAAATCTCTCTATAAACTACCTTTACAATGCCCAAAGTATCAACCAGACAACAAACCTTGAAAGAAATGAAAACTTTGCATAAGCACAGTGTCATCATTGAAGACGATAAACAAGCCGATGAGATGCACGAATTATTGAGCGGGTTAGAAACGAAACGCGTTTTGAACAGTGGAGCAGGCATCCCTAAACTTAACCAGTACCGTGAGTTTTTTCTCAAGTGGGATGACGAAGAGTTTGTCAAGATGTGTCGAATGAAGAAGGAGTCTTTCTTGAAACTTCTTCGCCTTATTGAAGACCATCCTGTCTTCAACAACAAGAGTTTTGTCGCCCAAACGGATGTTCATATCCAACTTGCGGTGACCTTAAGACGATTGAGCCACGACGGAACAGGCAACAGCATCGACCAAATTGCTACTTTGTTTGGGATTAGTAAAGGCTCTGTCACCAACTACACGCAACGCTGTTTCAAGGCAATTAATGACAACCTTGGACATTTGATGCGTTGGCCCAACAAGGAGCAAAGAGAATTGTCGGCCGCAGCAATCAAGAAGTACCACTTTTTTCGAAATTGCATTGGGTATATTGATGGTACTCATTTCCGTCTTGCGCAGAAGCCAACGAAGCATGCCGAAACGTACTATAACCGAAAGGGTTTCTACTCTCTGAATTGTCAAGTCGTATGCGACGAAAGGATGATCATTTTTGGATTGCAAGTAGGACATGTAGGTTCAGTGGGTGACGCCACATGTGTAGAGCATGCCAGCTTTATGGTAAATAAAGATCACCTTTATTTCACATGTGGTAATGGTGCAAACCATGAGTATCTTCTGGGTGATTCCGGATATGCTCTACATCCATTCGTTCTTACCCCTTTCAGGAGACCTCAGGTACTGAAATCCAAGAAGTGCGAAGATTTCAACAAGGTACATTCTTCTGCGAGAGTTGCCGTCGAGAACACGATCGGTGTACTGAAAGGTAAATGGAGGATCTTGAAGAACATTCCTATCCAGATAAATTGCAACGAGGACGTGATGAAGATCGACGAGATGGTGTCTGTTTGTGCTCTTTTGCATAATTTCTTGATTACTGAAAACGACAATTTTGCTGGCGATTTTTTTGAAGACGTAGATGTAGGTCAGTCAAGAAAGGATGTATTGTTGCTTCAATCGTTCGACAACATCAAAAGTATTTCTGGTCGTACACTGAATAGATGGAGGGATTCGGTTGTGGATGTAGTATTGGCAGATTACACTGTACATTTCGCACGAAATAAAAAATAAAGAGATTAGATCGATGAACAGCGCATTATAGTTTTGAAGTTATGATCAAATTTATTATTGTAATGAATGAGGAATTGTAGAAGGTCATTACTGATATAATCAGGTAAATATTAGTTAAAAAAAAGGTTTTATTCAAAAGAAAAAAAAAACTAACGTCTAACTACTTCAGACCCATCATCAGAGAAATCATCGTTACCATCAAAGGCGGTTTCACCTTCACTCTCATCTCTTACTTCGAAGGCTCCTTCATTACCTCGAGCATCTTGAAGAGGTTCCCTCAACGATTGTCGGAACGCCGCAATATGCTGGGCGATCTCCGTGAAGGACGTCGTCCTGAAAGCATTAGTCCGAAGACTCGTCACCAACAGCTCCGTCATACCCAACTCGAACTCCCTCTGGCTGTTCTCTCTCAGCACTTCATCCCTTCTCAACTGGGCTTCACGGTATTCTGAAGAGAAATCCCTCTTCATCCTCTTGTTTCTCATGGCGTGATCGGGATCTACACGAATACGATCAACTGAAGGCATTTCAGGTCGAGGTCTGGACGACCCAACATTCCCACGAGCACCACGAGAACTACGACCACCAGAAGCAGCACGACCACCAGAAGCACGAGTACCATTGGAGCTACCACGAACACCCCGGGAACCAGCATTGACACGAACAGCGTCCACATCATCATCGTCATCGCTGAAGGCATTCGTGCCAAGGATTTCAGCTACTTCTCTGTCTAATGACATGGAACTACGACGAGTTCTAGGAGGATCGTCAGGAACCACAGGAAGAGAAGACGTATTATTGTCACCTGTAGGCTCCACGGACAAAGAGCGAGGAATCATGGATGGTGCAGGAGATGAAGGGCCAACAGAAGGATCACGATTACGAGCTGCAGGTTCCTCAGAGGCAGATCGAGTTGGCTGAGCTGGTTCAAGCTCTTCACCCTCACCAAAAACAGCACGGGTTTGTTCATCAATTGCCGTAATGGTGGGCTCTTTTCTACTGGAGAACGTATACTCAGTACCGCCAGGAGCACCATGGAAAGCTACGCAAACAGGTTGGGTATTAGGCCTATCACCATGCAAAGTCGACAATCGTTCAAATCCAGGACATTCGAAATCACACTTTTGTTCGATACTGGTGATCCCTCCACGAATATCCTTTTCTGTCAAACCAAAACCAGTGCTATTCAACTTTCTCTCTATTTCACGGTACTTGGTGAAAAGACGGGCAACACGTTTCATAAGCTGATCCAGCGTCCAATCGGTGGGTATAGCCTTGTCAGCCAACAGTTTTCTCATCATACCCTTAATGATTTCACGCTTTTTGACTATGGTGGCAGCTCCAGGGGCAGCGTTATCATGTACACCGATGTATGCTTTAAAAAGCTTGATGTTTTCCTCGAAGTAACCAATCATCGCTTTGGCATGAGCAGGACTAGTGTTGGATCCACGTTGGCTATCATCAACAGAAGCTGTTTTGGAAGACGTTTTCTTGGATGATTTAGCAGTAGTTTGTTTACGTTGACCGGGCATTTTAGTTGATATAATTCAGAAAATAATTTCAGGGAAAGAAGGTAAGTCAAATGTGGGATAAACGAGGTTTATATATGATAATTAGATGAGTGGTGACATTTGCATGTCATTTTTTATGACGTAAAATAAAGAAAAATAAACTATTTATTACTTTTTATGGCAATTTCGTCATAATTTATGACGTAAAATCCACGGACGATAATTATCGTCCGTCATTTTTCTCGACCGATAATTATCGTCCGTCGTTTTTCTTGACCGAAATTTATCGTCCGTTCCTGAATTTTTGGCTGGGGAAAAAATTACGGGATTTTTTAAAAAAAATTTCGGAATTTTTATTTTTAATGTTTGGGACCCCCTATTATGATGCTTTTTTCGGCTATTATGAATCTTTACAGCGGCAATTTAATCAATTAGTGTACGTATAGTAGCAAACGTTTTAGGTAACAAATGCTAGACATAATGGTTCATATTTGTTGAAAATAGCCAAGTCCGGTACAAAAAATCGAAAAAGTACGAGGTAAGGGCTGCAATTCAAAATATAATTACTTGGGCATATGTGACAGACCTTACCGATTAATGAACTGGAACCTCGGAATTGTCTCTTCCAATTTTTAAGTCAAAAAGCAAATGCTAAGTATGCACCCTAAGAAATAAAAAGTTTAGTCTTGGAAAAATGACAGGAAAAAGACATTATCGGACATTATTTTGTTATGAAGCTTCTTAGAGCAACAGGCTGTTTTTGTATCCTTTGTTCATACGTTTGGACGTGTCTCCTATTATATTTAAAATCAAAACTTAAGAATTCGCCTCAAGCCGAAATAAATAAACTAAATATTTGCTAGAAATACTGTCAAAATAACATTAAGGGGATACAACTTTTTTTGAGGAAATTTAAAGCGATGGCGTTTTTTTAGTTCTGTTATAAACGGTTTTCTACGTGTCATGAGTTAATTAAAAGTCAAAATCGCATCAAATGAGCTTTAGCTGAAAGAAATAAACTCAATAATTGAGGAAATACATGGCAAATGACGATTGTCTTGAAGGAAACACTGTTTAAGTAACTTTAAAATGCGGGATTCTATAGGTCAATTAAGCATGAACTTGGACGTGTTTCATGTTTCTTCAAGTTGATATCTTACTAACTGACCTCGAGCCAAAAACAAATTTCACTTTACGAGTGCAAGAACTTTAAAAGAACACATATATTAAAAACCAGTAATATAAGGAAAAAAAAGTACAGATATTTAAAGTCAAATTAAATACAGATTAATAACGCTTGCAATAAGAAATTTTAGATATGAAGACAATCAAAAGTTTAGGTATAACATAATCAATTCCATAATACATAGGGCATAAGAAAAAATATATTATAAAATAAAAATGAAAGGGAAAATACATAGAGACAAAAAAAGGTGGCAAATAAAAATAACAAAAGAAAACAAAAAGGCATAAATAAAAGTATAAAAATAATAAAGGTACAAAGTAAAATGAGGAATATAAGTAAACAATGGGGAAAAAAGACTTAAACTAAAAAAAATTCATCGTAAGAGAAGGAAACATAGAGAGATATAACAACATACAAGAACATAGTGGCATATAAAAGGAAGGTCGCATAGTAAAGGACAGTGGCATAGTTAAGGACGGTGGCATAGGTGAAGTTGTGGAATAACTTCAAGATAGTGACATAATTAGCGCTGTAATGGGTGAGAGGAATGGTAATAAAATTATTTAAATCAAACGGCCATTTCGTCTATGATTTCGCGCGCGGACACGGGGAATGGTTCTACCACCAACACGACTACCATGAATTTCAGTGACCCGACGATAGACACGAGGAAAACTTGGGTCCTCAAACTTGTAATCATAGGCATAGTCTTGAAGAAACTGGAATATCTCCCGGGAAACGTCACCCATTGGTTCTAAGAACCAAGATACTTTTCGCGTCGCAATAGTTGTTGAAGATGTACGCCTAAACATCTTAGTAGGACACGACATGGGCACATATTCGAGAATATACACCGATGCCGCCAGAAGGATACAATGTAAGTGTTTGAGAGACCTCGAACTGATATCAGCATGCAGAAAAAGCTCCAAGAAAACAGAGCGGGAACCAAATGCTCTCCATGATCTATCCATACGATCATCCGTCACCAAAGATTGAACCCAGGCCCGTTCACGGTGCTCTTGTTCGACATAAGGAAGCAGAAACGCAACACGCCTCTGAAAGTCCATTTTGACCGTGAGATCCAGCGCATCCCGAAGTTCAGGGTCGAACATGGATTGGTCACCACCGAACGAAAGATTTTCGATGTTGCACCCGGTGTGGCCACCTCCAACCAGAGAAAAATACTCCTCAAAAAAGACTTCCAGGAAACGGACAGCGGATTCGGGCCCAAGACCAAAACGATGAAATATTTGACGGGTTTTTTCAGCGTATCTGACGGTGTCAGCATTGCCAACGTCAAACATTGGGATAGCTTGGTTGGTCAACCAAGTTCCAAGAACACGATGCCTGCTAAGTGGGGTTTTGGAAAAGCGCAGACAAGGAGCGAAGGTCAAGGGGCCCAGAGAAACGGTGTAGCTTACCGTGTTGTTAAGTGCCACGTCATGAGCCAAGTGCACATTTTCCGGATTAATTTCATTAGCGGCAGCCATACGGTCTATTTCGTTGACTAAACGGTCACCATCTACCACCAAAGTTCTGACAAAAGACAAACCGGGAAACATATCCGCCATTCTGGTCGAATCAAAAGCATCGATGAAACGCCACTCGTTAAGATCAAACACGAAATGGTAACTCATAAAAAACAGGTAGTTTTTTTTACAGCGATGAGTCTTGACAAAGTTGTTGCAACAGGTAGATCTCTTATCGGCCGGATGCATGAGGCTGTTCAACAGAAAAACGCAGAACGCAAAGCCAGACACAGCAGGTAATTGCACATCCCGGCTTAACGAGACCATCATCTCCGAGGTGAGATTCAGCAACTCGCGGACATAGGCGAGATACTCGTCGACAAAGAAATGGATAAACGCACCGTTCGATTGAAGGCGGCTTCAAATAAAAAGAAAATGTTAGATTGTATACATAGATATAATGTCAATGATAAAAAGAACTTACTGCAGCCCAACTATTAATTTGCGAACGAGTATGTCGCCCACATCCGCCGCAATCACACGAACCTCCAAACGAGAGGTAAACTGCGTCTCCTGATGCTCATCCAGGCAATGTTGGTAGACGTTCTGTTTAGAGAAGAATGAAAAAAGTTAGGCAAAGACAATACAAATAATACTACATAAACACTTACCAGCCCTTGTCTCCAATGGCCAGTTGCATGGTTGATGGTTGCCCGAGACTTTGACGGGGACCAATCCTCACCGACGGAACCGTTGAAGCCTTGCCTGGCTCTGGTGAACGCAATTTTGACATCATTGTACATAATCATCTTCCAGGCTTCATTAATGGCTGGAGCAGGGTTCTTGCCTGACATGCCACCGAAACGGCCAAGGCACATATCTTGACACTCCGAAACGGTACCATTGCCACCAAAAAGTTCACCAGTTACCGAACAGAACTCTTCTTTTAAAAAACTGATGATTGGACGTTTATCATCATCAGAGACCGCAAAAAAATTCACCCCAATGTCCACCCTAGTTTGGACGGCAGCCAACTGATTCCAGTCAATCATATTACTGAGAATTGCCGTATGACTGAATCTACGCAGAGGAGTCTTAAACCCAAACGCGGAAAGGACAAACCGGAAGTGACGGAACATCGCCAAAGATTGCTTTTCCCGAACTATATCACGCATGATGTCAACGATATCGGAAAGCTCCTCCGTCCATAAAGTAAGAGACAAGGCATTGTGGACACCACGAGCAGCTGATTGTTCGTATGAACTACCACAGCGGTTGTATGCTGAGGGGGCGCGATCTTTGGACACATTTACAGCGGGAAGAAAAAGTTCGTTGGCGAACTTGGCCTGGTGAAACGAGTCAAGTACGGAGGCATCAGAGTCCATTTCCACACCAAGCTCCTTCACGTTTGGAAATATGATATGGATTTCCAGATGGCATTGGCCATCCATCGTAAAAAGTAACGTGTGATGTTAGTCCTTAACAGGCATCTTGAAGTTGTGATGCTCATACGTGCCGTAATCCAAACGAGTGATACAAGTACTAAAGGGAGGGCTCAGGTAAAAGCGCACACGGTTATCCGGGAGCAAGGGAATGTCACGCAAGCCGTAGGTGATGAAGGCATCGACAATAGGGTATAAAGGGATAATTGGGGGTTGGGTTGATGTGTTGCTATGAAAAGAGAGTGTTGGCATGGGAATAGGGTGAGAAAAGTACAAGTGGGATCAGCAGGGAGGACTTTACGTGTATAATAATTTGGATATCAATGATATCATCGGGTCGTGTGCTATTCTACACAATGCATGAACGGCAAGAGGGGAGCTAGGTTTTGATGGTGTGTTTTTGAGCCTACTGGTCTAGTAGTTGGAGAGCAGGGTGATACATGTGTTATAGGTAACCGAGCCCGCTTGCGCATGTTAAATGCAACTTTTCCTTAAATGTGTTAAGTACCAAAATTTTTAAAAATAAAACAAATTTATTATTGAAGAAAAAACCCCATCATATTTTAGTCGATGTTATGAGGTTTATATTCATCGGACGAAGGATAAGTGATATCAAGCACGTCTGACGGAACGGGAGAAACCGTCGTGACATTGCCATCGATCGTGATGTCATTGGCAGAGGGGGTGGAGGTAGTGTTGTATGGGAGGATGCTGTTGGGAAGGGTGCTGCTGACGACGATGTTGCTGGTGTTCGTATTGTTGGCGTCGGTTTTGTTATACGCGCTGGTTTTGCTGGGAGAATGACTGTTGAACTGATAGTCATTGGCGTCAGGAATACCATTGACATCTGGGCGGAAGTAGTGGCTGGTGTTGTTGGTGTAATTGTAGTCACCGTTTTCAACCGGATTGTAGCTCGTGGCGTTGTTGTTGCTTGAGCCGAAATCCCCTTTCATTACCATCAGCATCTGGCGCTTTATATTCAGAGTGTCCTGCATCTACTCAGCAACGCGAGACTGCACCTGGTCCCGTTTCTCCATGGACTCCCACATGTGACCGAAAAACGTTGTCGAATGAGCAACATATTTAGTGAACTTTCTACGCTCCGGCTCTCCATGCTCCAGACGACGTGCCTCAATCTCATTCATAGAGGTGACTAGATACTCGATCATTTGGTCGACCGCTCTACTTTAACTGGCAGCCCCACGAGCCACACCCTTCTCAGCACCATCGTTTTTGATGGCTCTTACTCCTCTAGCACCGCAACGTCACCACGATTATCTATCGTCTCTCCAGAAAGAGAGGTATACACAGTAGTTGGCATCTCACTGTTGGGATTTCCGTCGCATCATGGTAATCCCAGTTTTCAATCGGTGCCATACCAGTTGGATTCAACCTATCATTGCGATGTCTGAAGGCAGCACAGAGAGCAGCCACTTAGAATTTAATGGCCTCGAAGGTCTGCTTCCATTGGTGCCGTTTTTGGTCTTGAATAAGTGCAACATGCACGGTACAACTCATTTAGTTCAGCTAGCGTACGATTGGACTCCAACCGCTTGTTGTAATCAGCATACAATTCAATAAGAGCAAAGGTGCTAGCTGAATTCCCTTTTGAGTGCGTGTATCTGGTATCCGAAACTTAATAGTCGCAGCAGCCTCCGTGGCATGAGCAGTGGCAGCAGCAGGTGCAGCCGGGGAAACGGCGGCAGCAGCAGAAACGACGACAGGAACCTCCTGTTTTTCTGAAACAGTAGTATCATTCGACGGTTGCTACCATAGGCTACACCATTCGGTGTCATTTCAATAAATTGGTGATTGATAGGGTTGTTGTTGTTGTTTTGATTGTTCATTTTAAAAAATTTAAGGTAAGGAAACAGTAATAAAATTTTATTTTGTATTTTGGCATTTTAGTAGTCCATTTTAGGACCGTTTATTTCTGGAGGCTTCACATTCGATGCCCACAGATTTTTCATTTTTAAGCAGCAGATTAATAATAAAATATAGCAACATAATTTTTGACAGGATTCAAATTAGGAAAAAAATATTGATAAAAAAACATTTTTTTAAAAAAAAACCGGAGCTTGTCCATATTAGTACATCTCCTATATAAGATCTCAATCTATTTTGTTTCATTTCGGCAGCCTAAATCATACAAATCTGAGAATTCTGGTCCGTTATCTGCCAAGATCCAATAGGTTTGCGTACTCTGGTCCGTTATCCCTCAAAATCCGTTGATTTCAGGGTACTCCGGTCCGTTATCCCTGAAAATCCGTTGAATTCAGGATACTCCGGTCCGTTATCCCTACAGATCCGATACTTAAGGGTTTCCTGATTACATTAAACTAATGACCAAAATAGAGTATAAGAAATTAGAACGGTTCCGAAATGGTTCAAGAATTCTAAACTAGTATGGGAATGATCTGAGCTATTTTCACATATAAGGTAAGTTACAAATCATATCAGAACATCCTTAAACGTGAGTTCAATTTCAAAAACGGATATACAGCGCCCTCCAATTTATCCTAAGCGTTTGAGGTTTTCGTATTTTGTAATGACACCACATACTAATATCATAGGGACACTTTGCGATCATTTTTAATTTATTGTCTTTTGTTATTATTAAGTTATTGATCCGGTTAAAAGCTCTTCATAAAAATTGTATAAGTTATTATCTTTTATATAAGAAGTGAAACCATTTTTTCCATAACCTTTAATGAAACATTTTTGAGTCTACAGCATATTTCTTTAGTCCGATGCTGCTTTAATGTCATCAGTTTTTTGGAGACTGGTCTAGTATAGGTGTATTTAGCAACCCCGGACAAAACTAGGATCGACAAATTAAAGAACACTATCCGACGTAAAAACATGAGCTCTTTTTAATGGTTCTACTTTTGTCCCAAAGAACGGTGATACCACTGGCTTATTTACGTTTTAGTGTCATACACTAGGTGCACTGCAATATTCTTGCCTCTGAAAGCCCAGCATTGCCGGACATAGCAACCCCGAATGAAAGTTAGAACTACATAAAGTTATATCGAATGCCTTCGTGACTTGCTAATGGCATATTTTCGGGCAAAGCTGATTATTCGGTTTTATGATTTTTATGGGTCCGACGTTATATGAATAGAGTGTAATGTTAGACTCATCGTTTAGATATACGTTTACTAACGTGTAATAATCCAGTTAGAAGGATAATCGACAAGAACATTTGTGAGCAACGACAATTTTTTCTATATAGGGTTATAATAATTAATAAATAAATTCCAGTTAATGAGCGTTCCATTAGCCGCACGGTAACCTTTGGCGAGAAAGATGAGATTGTATCTCCCATCATTAGCATTAAATTATCATCTTGATACCGGAATATTTGAATGGATGAACCTTTTTTGGAAATATTTTTCAAATTGCATAAGATAGTTCGCTTGTTTCTGATGTCTCATTAAAGAACAATTGGCAAATGTCAAGAGCGGAAAGGCGGAGAGGACAGACCGAAAAAGACTTGCTTACACAAACAGAGTAATTAAAGATACTTTGTTTATTATAAGAAAGAGAGAGTAAGTGAGAGAGAGTGTTTAAGAAGAATGGATGTGAGACGGCAATAAAATTATATATCTGATGAAGGGAGAAGAACGAAAAGGGAAAGCCCGGTAATATTCATAGTAACAGGATTGCATATTGATTTAGCTTGAAAAAAGGCAATGACGAAGTTTAGTAAGTCATTACTTACTTACGAATAATATTTGATGATTGATGGCTGGCCTGCAGATGAACAGTTGCCGGCAAAGAATTAACTAAATTAATGCATCTACATGAAACGATTATGACAGCGAGCATAATAGAAAAACCCCCTTCGTAGTAACTTTTGCCAGTACCATAAATCTTTGTCATCTGGATATGTATATCGCTTTATGACTTACATTTTAGTTCGTTCCAGCTGTCATATCTTATTTCGGTCCAGAAAAGCTTATAAAAAAACTGGTTTTGACTATTATACTTTCCACAAACGGGTCTTTGCAATGACTTTAGAAGTATCTAAGTTATTGAAATTATTTTTTTGGTTCTTATTTGGTACTATTACTAGGTTTCCAACTTTATTAACAGTTGTCCCATCTTTAAACCATTTATGTTTAATTCAATTAATTTAAGTAACTCCATCGCCGAAGGCTAAGAAATCATTTTAAGTTATACACATTTTACAAAATAGACCAGTTTCATAATTTTAAATTTATTATAAAAAAGAAAACTGTAAACAAACTAACAATCCTGACTTGGAAATATATTAGTCATAGAGAGAAAAACTTCATAGGGAAAAATATTTAAATATAAGGCCTAATAAAATGGCATGAAAATGATTAATGACATAAAATTAAAAAAGGCATAGACGAATGTAAAATATCAAAATAGTGATAAATATCAAAAGAGCTTAAACTACTATATTTTGGTCATTTACCGATTGCAACAATTTTTTTACGACGCTTAACGCGTGTAAGACGATTAGGTTCTGATACTGATGTATTTGAGTCCCCATTTAGCTTTCTGAAATTATCACTGATGTGAGGAAGAGGATTGGAACTAAGTAATTTACAGACAGATTGGTTATCACCGGAATATTTACGAAGGAAGTTGCATAAAGATATGTTTAATTCCTCAAATACTACCTCAAATCGAGATGCTTTACGAACAAAAAAACACATTCCTGTCTTTTATATATTCTACACTTTATCGAGACTGTCAGATATTTACAAGCAAGAAGACACTGAACCATTAGCAAGGAATGAAAATGAGATAGGACTTCGTAACCGATAAATGGGTTTGCAAATAACTCCAGATACCAGGCCCTGGTTCCAAAAGACTTCCAGTTTAAGTCTATACCTTTTCCATCCATGTACGCAGTCAGTTCATTCTTAATGTCCGCAGGTCTACAGCTGTCTCTATCCGGCAATGGGAGAAGAAAATACATTCGCTCTGTAATACACATTGGTTCAGCCACTCGCTTAGCATCAAAGTTGGAAAGAAAAGCCTTGGTTGGAACATTGGAGAAACCAAGTAGGTCAAAATAGCAATCACCATCCTTCCAAAAAGTTATATATTCGGACCAGAATTGCTCCAAAAAATAGGCGGCAAACTTCGTCCCGAAACCGTCCTGCATTAGACCTTGATTAACGTTATAAACATTTTTGACAGTTGCAATATTGGAAATATCATACAAAAATAGAGGACAATGATCAAAAGGTTTTTAGATTGGCATCACGGAGGCAGTGATCATTTCGAAATACGCCTGAAGAGTAGGACAAGTGACGGGAGCAAGAGGAAAAGCATTGGACATTGTCAAAAGTAATCCTTCTAAGGTTGTCTCGGTATTGTCGAACAAATCATAAAAAGCTTCCGGCACGTTGGCACCTCTTACGTAACCGTCCTGGAATCGACTCGACATGAATTGTTCGGTGGAATCAAAAGTAACTGCACCGGGAAATGCCTGTTGAATACGAGTAGAATCAAAAGTATGCCCAAACATGACTCTGTCGCCATCGACGTCAAACGCACCAGGGAAAAACAGCACCTACTTTTATCATATCTGCTTGATGATACGAAATTGACAGCGTCGGTTAAAGTTCAATCAGAATGCATCACGTTGTTGGGCATGTAGACCAAGAGATATAACCCGGAGAACGACTGCAACAGAACGGAACCAAGACATTTTTCGGCCAAGTCACTTAAAAGATTTACCAAAAGACCAACGTAATGAAGGTAAATACTCGAATCAATGTGGATGAACGCTTCACCAGCAAAAGCAGACCTATCATTAAAAGCAGCATAATTAATAGAGTATCTTAAATGAGGTACCTATAGAAAAACGTACTTTAACTTTGCGACTAAGACGTCGACGTAAGCCGTAGTGGCTATGATCGCGGGGACACAAACCTCCAAACGAGTAGTGAACTGGTGGCTTCGGTATTCGGAAACACGGGCATTATACCATCTCAATTACAATCTTTCAAGTAAATATATGGGAAAAATTTATATTAAATGTATTGCATACCATGTTCTTTAAATGATGACCTTCTTGATGATGAAAAATATTTCTCATTTTCTCGGGTACCATGGACCGGACACCTTTTCGTTTACACCAGAACGGGACATCGTAAACAGATACTTGATATCGTTATATATCATAACTTTTTAAGGCGTAAGAAGACTGCTGGACCGACCTTTTCCCGAGAAGCCACCAAAAGAACCCAAAGACATTCCATAAAAATCTGTCTTTATGGATGGATCATCAAAACGTTTTCCCATATTTTCGACTTTTTCCACTTTAACGTACAATACCAATTGTCGGCCATCCTCGGATTTGGCAAATAGATTCAAGCCAATATCTACAAGGCATCTTTGCGGGTCAAGTTGGGACCAGTCGACCATGGTATCAAGAATGGACGTGTAATCCGGACCATAAATTGGGCTTTTAAACCCGAAAGAAGAAACCACAAAAACAAAATGACGATATGGGGCCAAATCCGCACTCTCCTTCGCAATATCACGCATAGACTTGACTAAGAGCTTAAGCTCCGAACCAAGCAAAAATTTGGGCACCGTCATATGAAATCCAGTACCAATGGCTTCGCCAGAAGATCCACCAGATCGATTTGCACGAGAACAAATCAGAACACGGCGAATGGCCGGAATTAGGAGTCGGTCGGTGAACGTCTTTTGAACAGCAGCACCCAACATTCTTCTAGAATTCTTTACACCAAGCTTCATTTTCTTCATGTTCGAGAGGAGGACATGAATGTGCATGTATGCTTCCGAAAAGGCCTCCAAAAGCAAAGTGTGTGGGTAATTCTTGACAGAGTCCCTCTCACCACGAAACGTGAAGTACCTGAAGTCCAGGCGAGTCAATGCCTGCTTCCAATGGGGGCTTAAAGACAGCTTCAAACGAGTTTTTGGCATGATTTTCAGCTCCTTCAATGGGTACGAAATGAAAGCATCGATGTTGACTTCGCAAAGGGTAGGACTATCCCAATCAGTCTCCAAATCCACAATAATTTTTCTTAAAACTGACTACAGTTCCCCAGGAATGAATCCCTCAGTAATATATTTGTAACATTCTTAACGACGTGTTTAGAAATAGCAGATTTTCAATATCATGATGTAACTTAACACGGAGTACAATATTAGGCCCGGAATTTTTGTTTCGAGCCTAATCCAGACGAGATATATACAATGTCACAAAATAATATAAAACCAAAAACGCTTATACTTAAGGCGTTTTTTTACATAGTATGAAGTAAATTTTTAAGATGAAAAACTTTAAACTGATATATTTTGCTCTAAAAGCAAATGCCACCGGATACTGGTCAATCTTTGCTAAAGATATAATGTTACAAATTGTTACAAATACAAAAATGGCTGTACTAAAGCTGCAATTACAGATTTTTGAACGTAACTGAACGCGCTGAACAACATTAGACTGATATTTTGCTCTTAAATCAGATCCCGAAGAAATAAGGATCAATGTTTGCAAAATATACAATGTTAAAAATCGTAACAAATAAAAAACATCTTATACCGAAGTCAAATTTTCAAAACAAATATGACGTAAATTTAAACGTACACGAACATTAAGCTGCGACATTTTGTTCTAAAATGTAATCCCAACGATACATTGATCATTTTGGTTTTGAATATTTGTTATATTGACAGACAACAAAATCAAAGTACCCGGCCATCTAAGTTATCGAATGTTTACTAATTAAAAATTACAATACATACTTTAAGCTGTACATACCGAATACTAAACGAAATATATATAGGGTGATCATGTATTTACAAAGTAGTGGTAACATTATTGAAAACACCACAGCACGTGAAACATAACGGTTTGGAACAAGAAAAGTACTAAAATAATCTTGAAATAATTTAAGCAAACGATAGAGACTGTTCGCATTGAACATTAGAGAAACTAAAGATGAATTGATGTGATATTCACGAAAGTACCTTAAGAAATAAACAAAAAAAATAAAAGTTTCGTTTAATAATATTATCTGACACATTTTTGAAGCAATCAATATTATGCAGATAGTTAAATGAACGTCTCCCAATCTGTTCTTTAAACAATTGAAAATAAATTCAAGAGAACCAAGTACACTAATTTCACAAAATATTCGCGCACTCACGGAAAAAATTTCGTTCATCTTCAAGAAAAAATTTCGTTCAGCGACGAATTAAATTATCGCTCAAAAATTAATAAATAATTCGTGCAGAGTCTACGAACGAAATGAACGAATGAAAATATATTTTATTAAATGGGTTTACCATCAAGACAATCATCAAATTTTTTTGTAGAATATCTACAAAAACCTTGGAGGTCACTGATAAGTACATTGTTACATGCATCTCTTATTCTCATTGTCAAGGTCTCTTCATCCAACAGCTTTACCGGCTTAAGTTTGCTCTTACAAACTGACCGAAACTGTTCGATTGGATTCAGTTCAGGGGAGTAAGGAGGGAGATAGATACAGCCATACCCACGTTTTTCGATATATGTTTGTATATCTTTGTTGGTGTGGATAGGCGCATTATCCATGACAAGGTAGTGGTTCTTAAACTCCTCGTGTCGATCCATTACGTCTAGTGTGTTGGAAATGAAGTTAAAATAATGACCTGTAACGGTCCCGCCTTTGATACTGACAGGCTTTCCTCCTTCGGCTTTTCTTTTTTTTGAAGAGGCTGCAACTCTTGGACGTCGGATACTGACGTTGACAACACCGTAAGGTGAGATGGCCCCCAAAATAGTTGTTGTTTTTGCTCTTGTTTTAGGCACAACAACAACCGCACGTTCTCCCTTCTTAGACCATGCTACGCTACGTTTCATATTAATATGAAACGCAGCTTCATCGATAAACACGCAATTACTATTGTAGTCCATATCAGTACTCATCCATCTAATAACCCATTGACGTCTCTGCTCAATTTTCTCAGGACTATTTCTTTCGACAGAGTGAAAGTGGGCTCTTTTCAAAGATATGCGGCATTTCTCGGTTACAAAATTATAGAGTGCCGTTTTGGAAATGCTGAGGTCACTGAACTCATTTGTCAAACTTTCCATCATCTCATCCAAAACCAACCCAGCATTTTCGTCTACAAGGTTGACCAAAAAAGCCTCGTGGTTTTCATTTAGCAATGCGGGTCTACCAACTGGTCTTCCACTGCCGGGTCTTCGCATGATTGTGTCCTGGGGATCTTTTTCATTTTGTTTTACCCATGTTTGCGCTGTTGAAGGAGGTATATTCAATTTCTGAGCAATTGCTCGGGTGGACATATCTGTCTGTGTGTAATAATAAAAAAACTTTTCTTTATCCTCGTCTTTATAACGTCTATAAGTCTTTCGAATAGGCATTTCAGGGTCGGTGCTGCCAGTCTCAGCTTCCACAAACTCTTCTTTCTTAACCGCTTTTTTCTCTTTCTCGGTTGGCTTGACATCGACATATTGATCATACTCTGTAGCGTTTTTCAAGGGAAAAGTCTCGTAGTCGACATCCATTAACATTTCAACAATCTCATTTCCCTGCTCATCAATTGCGCCTCCTTGACCATCTTCAATAATAATGTTATCCATTGCAAATGTAATTTTGTAAACTAGCTCCAGAAAATGAACGAATTTTTCACTTTTAAATGCGCGTAATTTTTTTCTTAATTGAAACGAAATATTATTGGGGCGCTGAACGAAATTTTATGGTAAAAATGAACGAATTTTTTTCCTGGAGTGCACGAATAATTTATGAAATTAGTGTACATAAACCCAAAAATACTTATTGAAAAATAAGTATACTTGGACTGACACAGTATTTGGCATTGGTGTAACAGTTCTAGTATTATATAAGGTGTTCAACTAGGAATTCCGAAGAAAGTAGAACAATAAACGCCTAGATAATCTGATTTTCGGCAAACAAATCCGAAAGATACAGAACAATTGTTCTTTATACCATAGGTTTAAACAAGTTTTAGAAATAATTTTAGCATAGACTGGTTCGTTTCGAATTATGACATGAAGACCTTACATTCATTGGTGAAAAACCAATTCCAAAATTGCTAAAGAACAATATGAATCTAGGTAAGTATATTTTTTGGGACAAATGCTATAGTTGGGAGAACACTTGGAGGGGTCATAGTACTTGCTAGAGAAACTTTGAGTAACTTATACAAAAGAGTAACCAAATAATGAACAACCATTGGTGAAATTATTAAAAACCACAACACTTGGCAACCCTTGAAAATTACTATCACAGAAATAACTGAAGGATAATTGAAATCCTTTTACAAGCCATACAAACACTGCATACATTAAAAAGGAAGTAAACGGAAGAAGAATTGACGCAGTAATAAACAAAAAACTTTCTCAAGTCTATAAGAAAATAGAACATACATCCCATGAATATTCTTGAAGCCGGTTTTAAATACCCAAAAGTGTATCCAATGTTTAAATAACATTTTTTACGTTACCCTTTACTATATAAAAGAAAAATACAACGATTTCGTCCCAAGCGGAAAGAAATTGCAAAAAAAGAACGCATAAGACAGATTTGCACAAATAATTATCAGAAATCGAAAAATATTTCTAAAGACTTGGGAATTCATTTTTTAACTATAGAATAGATCTATTTAAGCAAGGAAACATTTAAAAAAAGTCTAGCCAAAAAATAATCAGTTTATAAATAAAAATGCGATACTATAGGAGTACAATGTTGGGATTTATTACGGATTCTATCGAAAATAAATTGTAGCACGCTATAAAGTGAGCAGTAACGAGATAATTAGCTAGACCAGAAGGAGATTACTCCTACGCCAAACAACATATTGGAATTTATTAATTAAACGATCACCGAGTATAAAAATGAATATCCTCAAAGCGTGAATAATAAAGAGACTCTTTCGGGATATTGCAGTCCCTCTTTTAACCAAACACAAACATCTTATGATCATTTTGCGTTTAAATGGTGGTGGAAACAATAGATACAAACCATAAACTATCAGACGATTTATTTCAGGATCTTTTAAGTAAGTGGGGAGTTTCAGAAATTATTTTTTTGTAGTCTCTAAACACAATGCACATAGCAAACAGAAAAAGATACACTGCAAAACGGTTCAGCAGCTAATGAATTGAATCCGTTTTAAACTAAGTCACTCATAGAATAAGAAAAAAGGACAATATCACTAAGTATTACTTTCTACGAGACTTTTAAACGACTGCAACAATAGATGTTAAAACAGCACTTTATACAATGCCCAAAAGAGTTTGGAAACGAAATACGTCGATATCCTGACTATCTGAAAGAAATTGGACAAAAAACGAAATTGGAGGTAAAGATGGAAAAGTAATTTTCAAATGCCGAAAAAAATTTTCTAAACATATCAGAATAAAGGTAATAACTTTGAAGTACTCTGCCCTATCTACTTAATTCCAGAAAAAAACTCTAACATCCAAAATGGTGAAGTACCTGACAAAATTCTCAAGTCAAAATAATAAGATCATACACTCTTGTACTAAATATAAGAAAAGAATTGCGATGATATAAGTAAATGCCTGCCTAACAGTTCTGACATGCACTAGCGCAGCCTTTTATAAAATATAGTAAAGATTAAACATATAAAACAAAATACGAAAGGAAAAGAAACTCCAATGTAATTGTTAGAAGATATTCTTTTCTTTAAAAGAAGCGTGTCTATAAACGGTATTGGTAATAATTCCATGGTAAGGCAGAAAACAAACCCACCAAGTACAATGAGTCTGCAATGATAAACTAGTTAGGAAGTCTTTATGGGAAAAATACTGAGTACGGGATAATGTCTACATTGATTGCATATAGTAAATGATATATTCTAAAGAACATCTAGTCCTTACTGGCTTCTTTGCGCACAAGATTTAAAAAATGTTCCATTAAAATTCTAAAGTGTAAATAGAAAGACTAAAACTGCGAGAATGACCTCAAACTAGTTGTTTATGACAAACACCGAAACAGATGCATAATCCGAATGGATTTCAATTAAAATAGAGAATACAGACACGGCACATAATGAGACAAAAACCCAATTGACCTAGTATGGGCCTAAGAAACTTTAAAAAAGACAAGAAAAGAATTAAAATGAAATAATACTTTCTACGACACTTTTAAATCACGAGAACTTGGCAAATCACGGACCCATGAGATGCTTTCAGTCCAAAATAGATTTAAGTGTAACCAATTAAAAATCTAGCTCGAGCTCAATAAAACCAGAAAAAGTCAATAATGTTTTTCATTATTATAAAAAAAAACATTGTAGAAACCTCGAATAACTTTATGGGTTCATGGGAACAGTGTTGATATCATAATAATAGGCAGTAGTATATAAACAAAACGCACGATTAGTCAAGGTACAAAAAAAGATAAATTATACAACATTATGTCAAACCGTATAAACAGATAGCAGTTGTTGAGATTAACGAGAAAACAATCATACAAAGTTATTTCCGGACTTTATGTAAAAACTCCAATAACATACTTAGCTTGACAAAATACGAGGATACGAACAATAAGATACAAGCAAAATATTAAAAACAACAAAACGTTTAGGACAGGATAAAATACAAGATATCCA